TTCATTATTGACCAACCTTAGCAAGAACATAAATACATAATGTATAACAACTACATTTAATAATTGGATAAAGAATTGTTTTATTTGATAAGTAAACTATATGGCTATGATAAAATATAATGTCCTTAAGGTGTTGCTCGACCTCCGGTTCAAGTATTTGGGATTTGGTCCAAGTACACGTACAAATAAAAGTACAAATCATCATATATAAGAGGTTTCATTTATGCTAAGTTGATTGCTAACGTTTTTATTTTAGTGATGAGCGGATGTGATTTACCCGCTTCTTTCTTATGAGACAAAAGTAGAGTTCACTTTGGGCACAAAGGAAATTAAACTCCCATCTATACAACTAAAACATAACTCAAAATTTTAAGACAGAACCCTTATTATTGTACTTCGTATAAAGTATGATCAGTTGATTGTTGGAGTCAATTTGATGATCTATTTTTTCAGCTTATAAGCTTTACCAGACATTAAGACATTCTTATCTAAGACTTTTCAAAGACTATTTTCTCAACTTGCGGTAAAGATTAGTTTTAGCCTTTTCATATACTACATAATTTTTCTTCAATTGCATTTTAATCATAATTTCAGAAATCTCAATACATCCAATTGATTTAAGCCTTAGCTCTTAATATAAGAATTATTTTCATTAACAAGTTAAAATCGAATGAGTTATATACTCATACACAACGAGAAAAGATTTGGATATTTTTAGTTGAATTAAAACTCTCTAGTCTGATCGATCTAATAGACATATGTTCTACGTCTTTTAGATTGTTAAAATTTGGTTTGATTAGATATTATATTGTTTGGTCTGATTTAGCTTGGGAATGAAATCAGTACAAGTTACTCCGTCTCACTTAACTTCGCCAACTTTTTTTTAGTTATCCCATCAACTTTGTCATTTTCTAAGACTCTAAGTAAAACAGATAATTTGTGGTTTTGTTTATTTTTCTCTACTCTATACCAACATAAACTTACTACACAAGCGATAGTACCATACTTTTTTATTTCTCACCTAATTCAAACTTAGGAAATTCCAACCGGACGGACGTAATATTTTGTAATGATATTTACAACAAAGTGACAAGCTATAATATGGATGAGCTGAACATCATTGGGTAGAGAACTACATTGGGTAAAGGTGGATCATTGATTAGCATGTGATCAATAGTGTTGTTCAAGTAAAAGTCGTCCTACATCTCTATCTTCTAGCCTATATACATACATTTGAAACATAGATATGATACATCCATATCCTAACGTTACGTTGATTAACGTTGACGGCTCTTTTGATGATTTGCATACGTTAATACAGTGTTTGGAGACCCAATGTTCCTTGGGGTCAAACACGTGCCGGAGTCTTGCTTGCATTTCACGGCCACTGCTTTTGAATTTGGTCACTCGTACGTACGACTCACTGACTATACACACCCGGTCTACATACTCCGACCTACCGGCTTTTTAGGATGTTTTTTTTAATGGGATGTGTTTCAATCCCAAATTTAACCATTTCAACAATTATAAAGTCCGTTTGGAAGCCCTATTTTTCGGGTTGTCACCTTATCAACCACCTTTTCAATGAGCACGTAATTTCTGACTTTTCATACCAAAATGCATAGTAATCAAAACAAATGAGGTTAAATTTACTTTTTTGACTGCATTGACTGAAGTTACTGCAGAGACACATTTTAACTATTTTGTCATGTTATATCTCTTGATTTCATTAACTAAACATTCTATATATTTTAAAAAAAAAATTGATAGATGAGAATCGGTCAATCCAGTCACTTCAGCCAAAACATTCTATATATTTCATAAATTTCAACAGAATCAGTTGATTCAATCAATTTCATTTGCAAATGGGCTCATCGATTTACACATAGTATAGATACCGATAAGATTAAACCCAGATTTAAATAGACTGAATTAGAAAGTGACATTTATTCAGAATGAATTTCTAAATCGAACAATACGGAGAAAATTGAAAATTACATTTAGGTATCACAACGTTTTATGTGATTCCAGATGATGCATCACGCATCTAATGAAATACGGGAAAACGACAACGTGAAAATTCAAACATGAAATAAGTTTGGACAAATTTTGATAGCAACCTGAACAAAGTTGATACAATTTGAGACAGAAAGAGATGAAAAAGAATATTATTAAAGGAGTAAACCATCAACTTGATAAAAATATTATACATCTAAGATGCGTGGTGAAATATTTTCTGTACTGATGAAGTGTGAATGAATAAATGACTACGGAGTATGTATAATCTTGTACTACTCCTTCTACCAGCTTAACATTTTAGTTTAAAACTTGATTTTAAGGCGTGTTTGTAAAAACATTAAAAGTTAAAATGAGTGTTTTTAAGTGACAATTTGTATTTAAAATAAGCACGTAAAAAAAAATTCTTTTTAAATTATTTTTCACTGTTTAATTACCATTGACGTAGCTTAGCTGCACTAAACTTTATTTACTATAGCTATAGCCGGTCAAAAATTACTTATTCTATACGTAACCACCTCCATGGCAATAGCTAAAAGTGTAATGCGCAAATAATACTTGTCCATTCTTGACAGCTTGACCAGACTCCTCAACGGACTAAAACATCTCATGACTATGAACAAGAAATGAGCAAGATAAGACTTAGTAGAGCTAGTAAAACATGTTTGAATATGTGTTCTTATATACTCCGTATATAACTGGATGAAGAATTACGAATAACTTAAGTAAATTAAAGATAATGTCTTCCTGTTTTAAACAGTGGAGTTTTGTTTTCACTTTGATTAGTATTTTCTTGTTAGGATTGTGACTTAACCTCCTCTAGTCAGTTCAAATCTAATATGATCTGAATCAATTTGGTTAATTCCTAACAGTTCATTACTATTTTGTCAAGGTTTGGTATAAAATATTTTTACTAAGCTATCAAGTTCAATCTATTAAAACTTAAAACTTTTCTTGTCTGGTCACGTTTGTCCAAAATTGATATGATTCGTTTATTAGTTCAAGCGAAAACATTCTATATGTGAAAATCACTCCGATCTCAATATGAATAGGCAAAGGACTATATAACTAAGAAATAGTCTACATATAATTATAATAATAGTAATAATGCTCCGTAATAACAACAAGAATAGTAGTAGTAGTCCCTAATAATATTAAAAGCAACAACAATACCTCATCCATAAATGAAAGTTTCGTCATGGATTTCGAGATCTAAATGATGATAAAATTCGCCCATTAATTTGAAAAGTTAAATTTGAATGTAATAAAAAAACTAATACATGAACCTAGAGATGTTTTAAGTTTTAACCGATGAATAGTGAACAGATCATCATAAAGAAGAGTGACATTCATGTGGCTGCATGTGTAAACGTTTTATTGGAGGTTTGGAACTAATTCTGCTTCTGCTTTTCTTTTAAAAGAAGCAGAATCAAAATCAATTTTTCATAAGTTTTTCTTCCCCAGCTTCTAAAAGACTGTTTCTATGAATAATTTGGAGCAACCAAAAGTACTTCAGCACTTTTACTCAAACACTCCAATATCTGCTTTTAAAGGAGCAGAAGCGATTTTAAGAAGCAAATCCAAACACCCCTTAATCAATACGGAGTACCAATTACCAAAAAAAAAGGTTTTTTTAACCCGAAAAGCAAGGCTAGCTTACTATCCAGAGTTGAGCAAGAAACAATATTCCATATAGAACGTGTAAGAGTACAAAAGGGTCCGAAAAGGTTTAACCCCCTCACCCCCTTCAGTAGGGGTGGACTCGGGCCGGTTCGGACCCGGTTCGGGCCTGGGCCCGGCCGGGCCTCGGGCCAGAAAACTAGGGCCCGAGCCCGAACCGCCGGTGGCCGGTTCCGGTTCCGGGCCAAACCGGGCCGGGTCGGGCCAAACCGGTCCATATTTTTTTTTTTTTGGTTCTCCTAGTTAACCCCCTACCCCTCTCCCTCAACCCCAAACCACCTCAAGTGGCCCAAAATACCTAATCCAACCCAAAACTTAAAAAAATTTCAAAAAACAAAATTAAAATCCGGCCCGGACCGGGCCCAAACTGGCCGGGCCGGTTCACCTAAAGCAGGGCCCGAGCCCGGACCGTCCATCACCCGGGCCGGGCCAAACCGAACCGAACCGATGGACCCACCGGGCCCCAAGCCGGGCCAAACAGTAACCGGGCCGGGCCGGTTCCGGGTCGGGCCGCCCGGCCCGAGTCCACCCCTACCCTTAATCAATACGGAGTACCAATTACCAAAAAAAAGGTTTTTTTTAACCCAAAAAGCAGGGACTGACCCAGGAAGATAATCTTGGGGGGGTTCAAAACATTTTTCGGGGGGCGAAAATTGTTTTTTTGAGGGAGAAAATTATTTTTTGTATATATACACACTAATTTTTTGTTGTTGCAGGGGCGGTAACCCCCCTGGGTCTGTACTACGGTCCGCCCCTGCCGAAAAGCAAGGCTAGCTTACTATCCAGAGATGAGCAAGAAACAATATTCCATATAGAACGTGTAAGAGTACAAAAGGATCCGAAAAGGTTTAACCTCCTCACCCCCTTCAGCCATCCTTGAGCCATGTAATGGCAGTAATGCTTTAGCCATGTAAAGTTCCAGAAGATGATGCCCACATGACCACATCCGTGGACAAATTGGTTGTGAAGCTTTCTATGTTATATAACTCTGAAGTCACTCTGAACCAATTCATTCTATGTATGGGAATTGGGAGTTTGGGAAGGCTTTGAAGAGAATAGAGGGAAGGGAATGGGAAAGAGATGGGAAACAAAACCTTCTCATAATGGGAAAAGGGGGTTTCCAAAGAAATTATAAATAAAAATTACATAATTTTTTATTGTTTACATCAATATTTGGTTGGATATTTTTCCATCAAAAAAATTACATCATATTTTTCTTATGCACAAGTGCACAGCAGAAGAAAATAAATTTGAATAGTAACAATATTTAAATTCACATTTCAATTTGCACGTTGAGAAAGAATTATTTAAAATTTAAAACAATTGAAGGAGAATATATCCATAAACTCATACTATATGCAACAAGTTTTCAGAAAAGTTGAAATGAAATGACAATTAAGAGAAAAAAGAAGATAAAAAGCTTCACATTTCATTTTGAGAATTAACTATTACATATTTCAAACACATTCAAGTCAATAACATAGAAAACGGCCAAATAATACCAATGGTCTCCAAATAAACTTGATATTCGCGGACACTTGCATTAACTGGTATGGCCTGCAAATCAAAAGAAAATTTGGATGGTAGAATTTAAAATAATACGATAGTAACTACATAAAAACACAATACCTTTAAATATTTAATGATTTATTACTATGATCATAATTCATAACTTATCATTTTATTAACTTTAACAAGAAACAAAAAAAAAACTTAACAAGAAACAAAAAAAATCCTACAATCTGAAACACCTTCACAAATCTGGAAATCAATCTTTAAAACCTCAATCTATTTAAGAAACTTGAATATTACGAAGTACTCCGTAGTATATAAGTTTAGTACGTGCAAATAATCAGAAATTTTTGTAAACATGTTAAACAATGTACCTAGGCATGAACCCGGTCCGGAAAATACTTTTATAGCAAAATACTTTAATATAAAAATGATATTTTATAGGTAAAAATTTTCTTTATTAAAAATAGTTTCATAAAAGTATAATACGAAGTATTAATTAAAGTCATTGTCCAAACTTTATCATCATTGACTTGAAAAGTCAAAGATGGAGAAGTTTTAAGGGACGAAGGTATAGTATGTAATAGATACAAATGGAGGGAAACGTTTTAAATATACATTAATTTAAAGAAACATTAATTTAGTACCCTCCTATTAATAAAGAAATATACTCCGTATATACGGAGTATTAATTTAGTACCCTCCTATGGTGCTTGGTAAACAAAACGAGAGTAATAATTAGATTTCTCCATCAAATTGGAGCATCCAGCATACATATATTAAGGATCTGCAGATATTGCGGTTCTATATTACTCCCTCCGTCCCAGGGAGAAGTTTCCACTTTCCTTTTTTGGCAGTCCCAACAAAAAGTTCTCATTTCTCTAAATGGAAAGTTATCCCACATCAAAACAGTGTCAAACAGTGCAAAACAGTGCCAAACTGTGTGGAAACAGTGCCAAACTGTGTGGAAACAGTGCCAAACAGTGTCGAAACAGTGCCAAACAGTAAAATTTACCCCTCAGTAACTTTATTTCCTTAATATGTGTGAAAGTTAACCCGGGAACTTCTCCCTGGGACGGAGGGAGTAGTAATTAAAATGCTTGTATAGAGAGAGGGATTGATTGTAATAAATAAAAAGAGAGAGGCATCGATTATGGCAGCCATTTTGAAATAAGAAGAAAGGTCATGAAGAAGAAAGTCAGGATTCCAGATTTCCAAAGGATTGTGGAGGATGAACATACCTGGAAAACCAAAAATGAAGTTTGCAGAACGATGTAGAGCTAGCATTCCATATTTGCTCCAAGAAATATTAATCGACTGGAGCAGATAGTGAAGGCACTGGGAAGCTGTACTAATTTAACAGGGCTAGAATTGTCATTTGCGTAGTTATCTCTCAATAAAATCAAATCAGAAAAACTCAAAAAATGAACTTTTGAAGGGCTTAGGAGGATTACCAAAAACCCCACTAAACTTTCCTGCCAATTTTTTAAAATTTCCAAACATAAAATGGAGGGTCATAGACCCTCACATCCCCCCTCCCCTCAAAAACCCAACTCCAAACTTACCCTAAAGGGGTGTCATGAAATAAGCTCACTTATGTATGCAACCTCCTAACATGCCTTGTTTTCTGAGCCCTGTCCTAAAGGGGAGAGCTTGCTGATGTTTGAGTTGGAAATTTCCATGTGCATGGGTTGCACGTTATAGTGCCTAAATTGGCTTGGGGCAGAGCAAGTTTAGTTGACCCTGAATCAAATTAATGAAACAAGTCAAAGTATACTACATACTACAAAAATTCAATCAGTAAACAAAAAAATAGAAAAGGAAAGAACATGAAATACTTACAAATAAGTCACTTATATCAGAAATTGCGTACAGCATATTCTATAACTCCAGGAAGATTTGTCTTAATATATTAGATAATTTTTCTAGGGGTGTATTTCAAACTAAAGAAATGCTAGGAAAGAATATATGTAGGGAAATGAATTAAAAATTTGGAAGGAAAGAAAATATTGATCAAAGTTGATCATTGGTTCAGCCTTCGAAATTTACTTTTCATACTTGTTCAACCCCAGTTCATTTATTCATTTACAAAGATTCAAAATCTGGACAAATGTAAAAGAGAAAGCTAATAGCATTAATCATATTTCTCTTCTCTTTTTCAATTTCTAGCACAAAACCAAACAAAACAAACCAACTTCCCTTAGCATTTCTTTTTGCTTCCCTGTCATTTTCTGGGATCCCATGCCCTTGAAAGATTTTACTCAACCGGAATCATAGCTTTCTTGAACAACAGAATACCAACTTACATTTGTGCTGCATGAACTTGATCATTTTCATCGCCTTCATCTGTTTGAATCGCATTTCCATCCAATAGCAAATCTTCCGAAGCCATCTTAGCATTTACTCTAGAAGGGCGAGAATCCAATGCTAAAGCATTTCTTTTGTAGCTCCAAACAAGCATTGAAATGTAGTCCTGAGGTGAAATGAGGCCTTGCTCTTGTAAGCAGTGCCTCTGTTCCTCTAGTGCTCGTGAATCATCAAGCATTATATACTCCATCAATGCCTTCTCATGATCAGGCCTCCAACCAACTGGAAAAGGGGTATAATCAGTTTCTGGTACAAGGGACATGCGGGTATACAACAGCCCATCAATTGACTCCACCAAACCCATCCTAAGTAAATGGTGATATTCTGGAGACTGTCCCTTTTTCTCTTTTAAAGGTCGTCGAAGATCTCTAGAACCGATCTTGAAAACTTTAGCCCGAGATCGAAGTTTGTATTTTGCAGCATAGAGCTTTGCAAGGGAACCCCTTATGATGTATGCGCAGAAATTGACAACCTTCTTTCTATTATCAGCATATCTGTACCACTCAACCATGGTAGCCAACAACTTATTCATTTGTGCATTTGTATGTGCTTGAGTAGCATGAAACATTCTAAAGCATGGTTGTGGGTCCGGGTCTCTGTCTCCTTTAAGAAAGCTTAGTTTTCTAAACTGTTTGATGCACTGCTTCAGGCTAGCCGTGACAGAAAGAAGTGTCCCCACACCTTTTTCGCTTATTATTTTGCCACCAGTGGCAGTATAACGAAGAGTGGGATAAACGACACGACGACACAAGATGTGATCAAGAAACATAATACCCTTAGTTATGTGTTCGATAGGAAGGCTCTCATTATCAAGCTTGAGCATATATTTCTGATCACAGAACTCAATCAACTGTTTTCTAAGAGTTGCCGCATCTGCCCTAGGGCCCCTCACTCCGATCAGAATGTGACCACCAAAACGGATATAGTCCATTTTCCTGGTCTTATCTGGTCCACTTGTAGGAACGAATTCTGGCCAAGATGTATTACCTTGTTCAACTTCTCCTTCTGGACTGTTCCAAATGACGTCACTCTTTGAAGGCCGATAGAACTCCTTCACCTTGCCTTCCATCCATCGGTCAAGTTCGTCAAGACAAATGTTAGCCAAAAGTGGACTCAGTATACCACAGTGACCCCAGGAAGGGAGTTTTTCAGCTTCTTCCGGCGCAAAACCGAAGAAAGTATCTAACCAGTATGGATCAGGTTTTGGTTCATCCTCTGCTAGAACTCTTTTCTTTTGGTACTTCCTCTTTGTCTTTTTCTTCTTCTCGCCATCCTCAGGCCTACTAGTGATCACTGGAGTAGTTAAAGCCAACTTAATTAAATCTATGACTTTCTTGTCCCTAACATCCCTCATCATTGCACCTATCACTAGTCCGACCTTCATTCCGTCTAATACTGTGCTCAAATCACCCTTCATGTACCACAGGTAGCCTGCAAAGCTCCTCCGGATCACTCTAAGAACAGTATGTGCAGTCCTTCCAGGTCTAAATGCAAACGATTTTTCAGAAAATCGGGCCTCGTAAATGGGCTCCAAAATGAGAAACAGAACCTCTTGAACGATTCTATCCTGAAAAGGGGATGGCTGAGTGGTAGTTAGTATAGCCTTGATTTTTCTCTTAGATAATGATTCGTAGTCTGTTTTATCTCTAGGAGATTTTATTAAAAAATCCAATCTTGCCCCCCACTTAAACCTATTATCAAGAACTGCGTTCCTCAATGCCAACAAATCCTCAAGAGCTGACCTTGTTATTGAGCTTCTGGGCATATAAGAACCAGTGTCATCCGCATAAACTTTCTGGTATGCCAAAACCCACAGCTCAAATCTCCTCAAATAATCAATGAGATTGGTCGCAGTTTTTTCCGGTTCACGGAAATTCTCAATCCACATTTTGGTGCAGACTGAAACCCCATCCTCCTTCATCAAGGTAGCTGGATCATTTGGGTCCCATTCCTTTCGATTAGGTGTAGAGGTGTGTAAAAATTCTCTAAACAGAAGAAACCCACTATTGTTGATAGTGTTGAAAGTGTTTAAAGGGTTTGCCACTTCAGCATAGTTTCTCTGTGCTAAAAAGGAAGCATTACAAAACACCTTACGACGTAGGAGTGTTAGCCGTTGGTGCATCATACTATGAGCAAAAGGAAAATGCAGTCCAACTTTTCCACATCTTTCTCTTTGCGGCTTAATATATGTTACCTAAAAGCCAAAACACAAAACAAATCATTATATGAAGGAACATGACATGCACTATGCATTGTGTGAAATGTTCTGTACCAACCTCACCCATAAAATTTTGCCTAAATGAGATTCACACTATGCATTGTGTCAACTGGTTTTGTAGCACGGATGCACTTATCCTAATTTAAGAGTGAAAAAATAGAGCTAGTTAAAATGATATAATGAAAGGACTGATTTTTTTTATTAATCTATTAAAGGAAAAGTGATTATGTTCCCGCCTAAAGAGCTCCACATGAATAAATACACCTTACCTTGTCGTATAGAAAAAATCCATACAAAATACAAATAATAATGTAAAACAAAAAACCCATACTGTGTGATATTACGCAGCTATTTCTTGTGCCATGTGGATATTAACATATGATGATATTACATCACTATAAATGCCAAGGCACAAGCACAACATAAACTTCCTTATAAATAGCAGCAAAGTTTTGGCAAATGACCACCACTGAAAAACTCTTAAGAGTTTTTAAAAACTATTTACAAATTGTGCTGTGTATAGTGTAAATCCTTTGTCAAGAAGAAAATACCTTTGATTTTGTTTTTAAGCTTAAAGATTTTTATGTAAAATTGCAAAAACAAAGGTAGCAACATTGTACTACGTACTACCTCCGTCTCATTAGAAGGTTCCCGTCCACTATTCCCATGGTCAACTTAATTCATTTTTAATCTTTTACTTTATATATCAAATTTACATTTTTTCTATCAGGCTTTGTAGCGGTTTTAATGTAGTTTCTGAATATGTAAATTTTATTTACTAAAAATAATCAGAGTGTAAACAAGGATTAAGTTGTTTTATCGTCAGTCAAGCATCGTAAACCGTTCACGGGAACCTTCTAGCGGGACGGAGGGAGTATTAGATTACCAACTACACGAACTTTCAATCCAACAAAGAGCATGCATGTACGCAAATATATGTATGTACTAATGTATACATGCATAGATATATACAACAGTATACTGTTTCGTATGTGTGATATATTTCAAGGAACAAAATGCCATGATTAAAAAAAAGCTCAACAAGGGTAGTAAGCTAGTAATACAAATACCTTCAAAAATTATGACAGCAAAGAGAAGTGGATACTCTTACAATCTTACCAAACAGAACAAAAGCACAAGAGACTTTAAAATAACAACTACCCCCCCCCCCCTCCATATAAATAGTTATAAGAGTGAAATCCTTCAATAAGTCAGAAGTCCACTTCGATGTTCGTTATAAACCCTAAATTAGAAACGGAGAAATAAGTGGACAAAAGGTAATCAATGAAAAATAAGTAAATATAATTGCTTTAACCTTCTGTGAGTTAGACCTATACGGCGGTGGTAATAGTGAGAGGAGATTGAAACCAATGGGATATCAGGAAGCTCATCTAACCTTCTGAGAGTCAATGAGAAGGGGGAGGCAGGGCCAGTAATTTATAACGGGCTTAATCTTTATAAAAATTGTATAAAAAATTATGTCTAAACTAACATGCATAATAATATATTTCAAGGAACTTAAAATAAAGAAAAGACTTCTTAATTCATTATAGAATCACTGATACATAATAACATAAAAGAGAATAAAAAAATTACTCAAATACATTTCTTGCCGAGCATTGTGAAGCGAAATCATGAACTATAGCTACATAACCAAGCTTTTCTTACATATTATGCTTAAATTATAACACTACTAGAAATTCCAAATTGAATTACATACCAGAAAATTCACCGATAACTTAAAATTCAATAGGGAAAACTGTCAATTTGGTCCTCGTACTTTCATGAAAAAGTCAATTAGGTCCTCGTACTTTTGAAAAAATCAATCAAATCCCCGAACTTTGTAAAAACATTCAATTGAATACATTTGCAGGTCACCCGCTGACGTGGCGCACACATGACGCTCCACGTGCGCGCCACGTCATCAACAAATGGCTGACTGGACTTTTGCATGTGTGCCACATCAGCAAAATTATTGCTGATTGGGCTGCCACATGTGCTTCACGTCAGCAGGTCACCTGCTGACATGACAAGTAACCTGCAAATGGATTCAATTGAAGGTTTTTACAAAGTTCGGAGATTTGATTGATCTTTTTAAAAGTACGAGAATCTAACTGACTTTTTCATGAAAGTACGAGGACGATATTACAGTTTTCCCAATTCAATAAGTTAACAATTATGAACTAATCATCTAAATAGCTATTGAAATTAATTAACGGTGACATCGACAAGTGGAGAACAAATTAACAGATAACAAACAACAACGATGATTTATGAGTAAGACCTTATCAAAAAAACTCAGCCAACAACAATCAACTAATCATTTATCAACATTCAACACCGATAAACTAATGAACTAATCAAATCAATCAAATGATTCAAGTATTAGATAACAGCATAGTAGTCATGGCGCATGGCGATCGCCATGGCTCAAAGGCATTTTTCATGGCGCATGGCGATGGCGCATATACAAATGGCGCATAAAGCGCATATGGTGCTATGGCGACGGCCAATTTTTCATGGCGATGGCGCACATGGCGCGCGCCATATCCAGCCATTGACTACTATGGATAACAGACTAGAAGAGTTTAAAGAGGAGATGAGGGCAGCAAGGGCTGAAGGGGCTGGACAGAATTGCAGATTCGCAGGTCCACGATCCACAGAAGGTCAGAAGTTCAAGGGCAGGAGGACCTAGTCTGCGAGCCATCGAGCACCAGAAGGCTGAGTAAAAAGGGTGAAAAGGGTCCTCTGATTCTCTGGCTGGCTCCAAGAGTCCTCAGTAACAATGTTTCAAAGTCCTGAAATTTTTTACTGCATCTTTCTGCTCCTGGTTTGGAATTTTGCTAGTGGCGTATGAGTATTTATGCCAATAAGATTGTGCCGTTTCTTATACTCTGTCCCAATAAATGTTACTCCGTAGATTTCTAGAAATGTTGTTTTAAATTGGAGAAAATTGGCAAATGAGTACATCAAGTTCGGAGCGGTGGAGTAAAGAGTACACAATAATGCAACTGCGATTTAGAGGTACATAAAATTGAAAAATCAGTGTTAATTTAGTACCAACTTGTATTAGCATGTTTAAAACACTTACTTGGCTAACGGATTAGCCAAAAGCCACCTCATCAGCAAAATAAAACCCTAATCGTACTACTTTTATGAATATTTGAGGCAGCAGGACCTTCTTTTTCTGAAGCTATTCGAAGTACTCAATGTTGGGGGGCGAAGGAGGGTGGAAATTTTCCCAATTCTAGCCCGCGGTGGCGCATGGGTGGTCAAAGAAATTGTTGTTGGTCGAAGTGGTGGGGAGGCTGGAATCGGAGAGGATGTGGAGGAGTTTCATGGTGGGTTTTTTCTGGCGGGGTTGCAGTAGCCGGAGCTGCTAGTGGCGTTGGGAGAAGTCTTGAAGGTGGCGGAAGCGGAGGAAGGAGTTCAGAGGAAAAAGGAGGGTGTCGCGTCAGAGATGGAGAAAGATTCCCCGGCGGAGAAGGAAACAAGGACGGAGCCGGTTAGCGGCAGTAATCGGAATGGGCGGAGGCTAAGGGTTGGACTGCATACAAGGTTTAGCTCAGGGCTATTATCGAATCAAGCTTTTTTTGAATTATATACTCGAGCTTAATTTCACCTCTAATTTAACAAACCGAGCTTAACAAGTTTCAAACTCGAACACCGATTAGGTTTTGAGTTTGAATAATTATCTAAGCCGAGTTCGAACATAGTGATGTTTGGTTCGATCCGGACTCGAGCCTATCGTTCACTTATAAATTATAGGAATGAATTATATATATATGTATCTTAAAGTTTAAACGTTTTTAGTGCAATTTAATAAACTTATTAGTGATTATTAATGATTCGAGTATTTATTGAATAATTCGTACAAGAATCTATTAACGAGTATAGTCTAAACTTATACATTTGAGCGTGTTGATCGATCATTGAAATCAAACATCAAATATCTATGGAGCCAAACTCGAGCTCAATTTCGTACTAAGAAAATATTCATTTCATTTTCCTTTCTTGGCTATATGTTCATTATCCATTCTAAAAAACATTTTCAATATTGGTATGAATTAAAATACTTCTATAAAATTATAAAACTAATAAGAAAAAAAATTGTTGTACTTAAAATTAATAAGTATTCTCAAATTCAAAATTCAATTGAAAATTTTAATTCTTTCTTACATGTTCACACAATAAATGAATCATTCTCTAATCTTTAATGGTATAATAAATAATCATTCTCCGATCTTTAATTCTCTCTTTAATCATTATAAATTTATAATGAATAGATACTATTTTACTATCTACTGAAAAATTAAATTAATAATCAAATACAATTACAAAATTAAAAAAAATACAGTCACAACTCACAAAATAATACTGTAGTACATCAAAAGAGTATAGAGACTTAGAGTATACCTGGAGAGTGGAGGGCCGGAGGCCAGAGTGCTGGATTGCCTGGTCACCTACTTGCCTAGACAACTGGAGCGGTGGAACCGATGGGAAGACGCAGAGACCTGGACGGCAGGCGGCGGCACGGTTGGTGGCCGCAGGTCGGCTGATGTTCGCTACACTCCCTCTGGCTTCTTCTCCTCTTCGCGCTTCGCACGTAGTCTTCGCAGTTGCGTTACTTGCGTAGGGATGCCACAGATCGGGTAATAAGTTACAGACTGGTATTAGACTTGGGCTGGGCTGGGTATAAATTTTGGGGTGAGATAAGGATTGACATTTATCTATACTCCCTCCCGCAAAGAAGTTCACCCACACACATATTAAGGAAATAAACTTATCAGGAGTAAATTTTATTGTTTTGACATTGTTTGAACACTGTTTGGCAATGTTTGACACTGTTTTGCAATGTTTGGCACTATTTTGATGTAGATAACTTGTCATTATCGGAAACGAAAACTTCTTTTTGGGACATCCAAATAAGGAAAATGGGAACTTCTTTGCGGGACGAAGGGAGTATAATATAATAAAGCAATCCCTTGAAGAGCCCTTGGAAGAATTTTTTGACATATGAACAAGCTATTTATTGGAAAATTTGGCATGTGTCAACATTACAATAAATATATCATTCTCGAGTCTTTAAACACACATGATATGCAAATCTATGTAGAACATAATTTTAATTTAATAGAAGTTAAAGGTAAAATACACGTAGGGATTGCTTTAAATTTACTCTCTCTGTCCCTTAAAATTTAGTCAAATTTGACTACACGAGAATTAATAAAATAAAAATTGTGTGGTTGATGTTTATGCGGAGGAGAGATAATTAACCAGAATCACAAATTCTTTACTTAAAAAGAAAAGTAGCAAAGTTAGTGAGACAACCAAAAAAGAAAAGTTGACAAAATTTTAAGAGAAAACTTTTGTGAGAAAATTCTTTACCTCTAAGGGAGTATCATTTAACATTATCAACAATGTTTATAACAAACTTTTAAAAGGGTAAAAGAAAACCTATTCAACTTCCTCAACTCTACTTGTACAGATATAAAGGAAACCATATTCAACTCCAAGTTATAACGGTTTATAAATGTACAATCACTACCGTTAATTCATTACCCTACATTTACATCGCACACAATTTTATGTGTGCGACATAAATAATACTACATCCATTTTTGAATTGTAATAGTTTGACTTTTATGTTTATCAGTGCACAACTTTAACTGTAATTATATTGAAGTATATATGAATAAATTTTATTAAAATTTAATACCGTGGAAGTTCACATCAATAGAAACTTAATACGAAGTACAAGTAATATTTTACACATAATAATTTGATTATATATTAGGAGTACTAGAAAATCATGATCAAAGTAAAGTGTGAATTGTTTAAAATTCAAAGTGTTGTTAAAATGACTTAAACATTTACACTCTACAGTCTAAAAATAAATTGGGTACTAAATATATTATATATCAAGTTATCAACCACCTCTACCCATTTTTAAAATTGTCGGCACTCCTAATTTATTATAAGTAAATAGTAAAAAGAAAAAATTCAAATAGACTATTACTATTTCAAGCTCATCACTTGATCGAGCTTATATATATTACAGACTAACATCTAATTACATTTATTATCAAAACACAATGAATTTAATCTTTTTAACCTACTATTGGAGGTCATTTATAAATAAGTTTTATAAAAATTCATATAAATTTAAAATACATAGGAACATAAATAGAAACAATAGTAAAAATATCAAAATAGATAAGTAATTAAAAAAATTAAAATACAAAATACAAAATAAAATCTGAAAAGGCAAAATAGAATTTAAAAATATAAAAGTAAAATATAAAGCTTTTAATAGATATAGAACATACAAATACTTCCAAAACACAAAAATATAGTTTTTGACACCCTTACTATCTTTTACATTCTTTTCTAGCTATTTTGTTGGAATTTTAACAAAATTCTTAGTTTTTCAAAAACAAAAAAAAACCTACATAACAGGTCAAAAAAGTATATTTTTAAAATAAACATACTTATATTGAAATATGATATACTTTTTAGTATAAACTTAAGCCATGAATGAAAAATAATAGAAGAAACATTTTGAACATTTTCCTAAATTTTCCTCATAAATAATGATAAATGCACTATTTTGTTTATAACCTTTTAGAATAGAATTTTACATCATTCGCTCATTTCTATCTCTCTTTTGTAAGTTATTTATATTCTTTTTCATATTATGATGATTACTATGTAGTATATCTCCGTCCCTAAAAGAACATTCATAGTACAAATGGCACGGAGATTAAGATAGTGGGTATTGTGTAGTGGAGAGTTGTGCAGATGAGAGAGAAATGTGTAAGAATTGTTGTGAACCACAAATTCTTTGTCAAAAAGGAAAAGTAGAAGTTTTTTTGGGACACCCAAAAAGAAAAGTTGGAAGTATTTATATGGATGGAAGGAGCATACTTGCCGTACTATAGTCAACTAACGCCTTTTAAACTATTATTTTATGCATAGTAATCATTGATTATATTCACATTTGTATTTTCAAACTAAAATACATGGTAACACAAACTAAAATATTTGATACTACCTCTGTTCCTTAAAACTTTGACAAGTTTGACCGGCTCGGAGATTAACAAAGTAAAAACTGTGTGGTTGAGGTTTGTGCAGAGAGAATTAACTGGAACCACAATTTCTTTACTTAAAAGAGAAAGTGAGAAAGTTAGTGGAATATCTAAAAAAGAAAAGTTGACAAAGTTTTAAGGGACGATGAGAGTATGAGATTGAGTCGTTTGTCCATTTTGTATATTTTCCCCTTCTTTATCTTTGAAATATACTTTTCATTTCTCGAAAAAATTAACCATGATCTATTCTTACCGTGCAACGCACGGGCACACATGCTAGTTATGGGATGAACCTGACATTAAACATATACGTTGTCTCTACACTAATAAGGGTAATTCTACATGCAGCCCTTAATTTACTAATCACAATCACATATATTTTAAATTCCTATTTTACCCATTCATTTAAATCATTCTCGTGGATCTCGTCACAAAAGACATGCCTTCTCCTCTTTTCCATTCTACGTATTCTACGGCTCCTATGTTTTCCTCTTTCGTTCCCCTACTGTATCTTTCCTTTCTTCTCTCATATTTCCCCTTTAACCAAGCAAAGACTGAATGAGTAAAAGGTGATCAAAACTAAAAACCTTCACAGTACTATTTATGCCACATCACAATAAGTTGCCCTTAACGACTTGTTTGGATGAAGTGTTAGGAAGTGTTAATAATCAAGTGTTAGTAAGTGTTGATAGGGGCCCAGAAGAGAAGGTAAGTGTAAGTGTTACACATATTCTTACCTTGTTTGGGAGAGTTAAAAAAATGAAGTGTTAGTAACGGAAGTGTTTCCACTTAAATTGACAAAAATATCCCCATACCTCTGAATTTTTTTTTTTTGCGAGATCATACCTCTTAAATTATTAACAAAAACGCACATGGATTAAAAACATATCAATAAATAAAAAAATGAGATTACGAAATACACACTTATTTTGTGTATAGAGGTACATTTATTTATAGGAAAAATTGATAGTAATAATCCCAACTATTGGCGGTCCGCTCATAATAATCCCAACTATTGATTATTACAGAATAATCCTAACTTTAGGGACCTTTCGCCAATAATGGTCCCTGTGAATAAATTCTTGTAGTTTCTAAAGTGGATGAGATGAGATATAACAAGTAATCCCTATAAATAATCTCAACTTTTAATTTTTACGCTAAATTTCTATTTAAAATTTACTTTTTATAGAGGTAATATATGGTCATGGACCATTATTGACGGATAGTCTATATAGGAAGGTTATGGCTAACACCCTCAAACACTTATTAACACCTCAACATTTTTTTAATTTTTCTCTCAAACAAGTGTTAAAATAAACACTCCTTAACACTTCCATTACTAACCCCCGCTAACACTCAATCCAAACACGCCGTAAAGCTTCCGAAGCTTTGATTCCTTTCTGAAAATCGATCTCCTCTTATTTCTCAATCCAGAAATGAAGTGCAATTCTGCGCAATTATTTCTACACTTTTCTTTCATATTTGTCAATCTTGCTTTCAATTCGACAATACCAACCGAATAAAATAATTGTGATTCAAAGAGCTTTTGGCAAAGGCCCTCTGCGAAGAATAAGGAAAGGGGTAATTTAGAACAAAGTTTATGAAAGTCCCATTCTAGATCAATCGATCGGGTAGGATCATAAACAAAAAATGCTACTCCAATCCCACCTCTTGCCGGCTCTGTTCCATCCCAAAATTCCAAATCGGCGGCTGAACTCAGTAAATCGGAGGTCTTCTGTGATGAGCTCGATGAGGATGATTTAAATGAATGGATAAAACAGGAATTTTAAAACATACATGGTTGTGATTAGTAAATTAGGGGTTGTAGGTGGAATTACCCCACTAATAAATAAGGAGTAAATAAATAAAAAATTGGGTTGGGCTGGAGTCCACCCTTGATTGGATTCCACCGTTTTCCGCACAAACTTTAATTATTACCACGTCAATGTTTTAAACATGGTAATATGATTTGAATTAAATTAACACCGATTTTCAATTTTATGTACCTCTAAATCATAATTGCACTATTGTGTACTCTTTATTTCACAGCTTCCAACTTGATGTACTGATCTGACACTTTTCTCTTTTAAATTGCTCTTAATACTCCCTCTGTATTTAAAAAAATTGGTATACTTTCCTTTTTAGATGTATTTAAAAGTTTGTTACACTTTCCTTTTTTTGTAAGTTTTTCTTTTATGAATACTTAATCACCTTACTTTTATGCATTTTATCTTTTCTTTCATATTTTTTCACCATTTCTCCTACCTTTTGTACACTATTCATTACCCCTATCATTTCATTCTTAAATAATGTGCCCAAACCTATTGTAGTGAACTTTTAAATATTGAGGGAGTATATTTTTATTTTATTAAATCAATATTCATCACATAAATACATATTTCTTGATTACCGCACTACCTCCTCTTAAAAAGAATGATATAAATATTACTTATGCACTTTTAAATGACAAAAATATGACGTGATTTAAAATTGGACTAAAATGACCAATTATATGTCTCCGATTTATTGCACAATTGAACAGAAAATACCCTGAATACAAATACAATAGCTAAACCTTGCATTAGGCTCCTTGTCTCCCGTTTCATC